GTACTCTTTCCTGCCATGGCAGGGGGTCGGACTTGATTATATGCTCAGGTCTCTTCCAACCATGGTCTACCAGGTCTACCAACTATGAAACTATCATGTCAGAAGGGCTATATAAGCCAACACTGCCCAGGAGGAAGGGCAGCAGTCATGATAAAGACACACACACCAACTCAACATCTGCAGCTCTCTCTCAAGATGCTGAAGTGAGTAAACTACTGAAACCTATCTAGATATATAGCTTGCTGTAAAGTAGATGCTTGATCAAAGGCTACTAGCCATACTGTTTGCTCTATGGCTATTCTGTAATACTTCTTTATCCGGCACCCTTCCCCAAGCCTTCCTTCTGTAACCAATAAAGTCCTTCACTACCAAGCACGGTAGACTTGTTGGGAGAGGCATGTCTTTATGCCCCCTTGGTCCAGCTGACTAAGGAAGGCTACTTTTTGTGCTTCAAGCTAAAGGAAGCACCCCAAGTTTTTGCAGTGGGTTAAACACCCTAAAGGTCTACAAGGCCTGTATACCCCAGAGGGCACAGGGCCAAAGACAGACCAGATCCCCTGGGTGGTGGCAGTTGTACCCCCAGGCTTGAGAGTGTCCGGGGGTTGGCCTAACATGAGGTGCCCCAGGGAGGCATTTGGATCCTGGTAGGTGGTCGGCTGCAGTGTGGTGGGTGGCTCAGAGCAGGAGTGCTCCCTACTGGCCCACCACACCGCCCACCTTGTAAGCCTGTCGAGGTCAGCCTGGATCGCCAGCCTATCTTCTAGGGTGACCACACTCCCCCATAGTTTGGTGTCATCAACGAACTTAGCCAGTCTGCTTCTGACACCAGAGTTCAGATTTGTTTATAAATACATTGAAGAGTACAGGTCTGAGAACAGAGCTCTGGAGAATGTCACTGGTCACTATGTGCCATGTTGATTCTGTTTCATTGACTATCACTCTCTGGGTCCGTCCACAGAGCCAGTTCCCCAGCCATTGGACCGTGAGATTGTCGAGACCACAGTTCCCTAATTTTTCCATAAGGGTATCATAGGACACCAGGTCAAAGGCTTTCTTGAAATCCAGAAATATGATGTCCACCTCTTCTCCTTTGTCCAGGTGATGCATCACCTGGTCATAGAAGGAAATGAGATTGGTAAGGCAAGACCTACCCACCATGAAGCCATGTTGGCTATATCTCAAGATGTTGCCTTCTGTTAGCCTGCTGT